TATCATGACCTCAATTCTACCTTACAAATCAGATTAGACCAGAGCATGCACACTGCTACAGATAAGACCCCACAATACAGGGAATCCAGGACAGATAAACTCCTCAGGGCCAACAATGAGTAGAGATAAAAGTAGGATCAGGGGAGGGTGGAATGGGGGGGAGAAAAGGGGAATCGATCACAAGGATCAACCTATAACCCCCTCTCAGGTAGACAAACAACAGAAAAGTGGGTCAGAGGCGCCAGAGGACGATGTGAGATATGAAAATAATAATCTATAACATCAATGGTTGGCGAGGGAGGGCAGGGGAAGAATTGGGGAACTGGTATCAGGGGCTCAAGTGGGAAGAGAATGATTTGAAAATGATGGCAGCATATGTGCAAATGTGTTTGACACACTGGATGAATGTATGGATTGTGATAAGAAATGTAAGAGCCCCCAATAAAAGTATTTATTTAAAAAAAGACCCCCCCAAAAGGAAGGGTATCATCATGAACGAAGAATTATACAAAGCAATTTTTTAAAAACCTGTCTTTAAAAGGTGGATTTCTCTATAGGTACAGAAATTCTTGCTTCTACGAATGACTGATATGTTGCAGCTGGGTTGATTCTGACATTATGGTGACCTGCGGAACTCCGCTCCAAGGGTTTTCAGTCATATCCTCTCAGGGACAGATTCCCAGGCCTCTCTTCAGGGGCCCTGGCTATGCTGGAACCCCCAAACTTCCAGCTAGTAATTGAGGGCTGTTTGTGCTCCCCGGGTACGTGTCTGAATGACGGATAAGCTCACCGAACCAAAGCACTCTTATGAAGAGCAATTGTATAATATCTAGTAGAAACATTGTTCTAGAGTTACTTAAGAAGTAAAGCTTAATATTCTTCAGGGAAGAGACTGACACTGAATCCTGGATCATCATCATCTTCTTCAGGCTTGCTATCGTTCTGTCCAGCAATGCATCTGTCCCCTACTGTCTCTGGGTTCCTTCCTTTCTTGTGAGTGGATAATAGATTATTTCTCTCTCTGATCTTGGGCTGTGACTTAGTAGTGGTTTCCATTTCCAAAGCATGTTGGAGGCAATTGTATAATCTATAAAGAAATAAGTATTTTTGTTACATCTGTGTTCTGAAATCAAGTAACTAAAAGATATCTGTCACTAATACATTATGTAAACTTAGTAAAGAAATAAGTTTTTTTGTTATATCTGTGTTTCTGTCACTAATAAATTATGTAAACTTAACACATTTACACAACATGTTATAAGATTTGTAAGTCTCATATTAGACTCATAAATATAGAGGAAATCAAAGAAATACTATGCTTCTACTTTTATCACATTTTAAGTAGGGAAACAATTGGTAAAGGAAAAGAACAATTTATTTTTTAAATAATTCAAATAACCAATGCATTCTATGTCCCTTCCAAACAGAGTAATAAGAATTAAAATTATGACATTTTTTTCTGGAAGACGAGCAGTCTTTATAAAGAACTTGTAATTCTCATGTGCTCCACAACTGAATAAAGGCCAATTTTAATGATATACAACTATTGAAAATGTTATTTTATAGCTTAGCTGATGATACTGAAAATAGTCTCTGTAAATACTAAAAGAATGGTAAACTTCTTTATGTAATACCCAAGTTGTGTGAAAAATAATACATATATGCATGTACGAGTTTTACAAGGAAAATTAACTTGTTTTGTAAACTTTAACCCAAACCAACCCTATACCCACCCTGACACACATAAACTCACTCAATTAATTTCAGCAAATATTTATTAATCATCATTCCAATGCTGGATATGATGAGATTAAAATTAGTAAGAAACTGTCTTTGCCATTGCAGCACTCAATATAATGGACTAATTTTCAAGGTCCTTGATTAATTCAATAAACATTACTGGGTTCCTACTATAAGCCAGATACTGTCATGGTTTAGAGCAAGTGTGTGTGTAGGAGGGGGTGGTGTGGTGGTAGCAAGAGAGCGGCACTTTGAAAGTGAGCATATCGCAGTGGGAAAAAAGATACATGCAAAATGAAGTAACTGTAATTCAACAGAGTACAATGTCTCTGTCTCACATTAAGGCATACCTGAAACCCTGTAAATAATAAAAAGTTGATCCAAGAAAATACCTCTGGCATTGAGTCTAGGATAAGAAATTTATTATGGAAGGACTGGCATGATACTTCAGGTGAGTATATTCAGAAGGCTATTGGCTATATGGGCCCAGACTCAACAGTTTGGAAGTGTTGCCTGGGGAAGTCACTGAAGCCACGGGGCAGGGACAGAATCCTGGAGAGCAATATTTTAAGGAAAAGGTGAAATAGTAAGAAAATCCACAACAATATGAAGAACCACAAGCAGTAGGGTGACAGCAGTGATGTAAACAAATTCAGACTCTGCTTCAGGCTTCTTAAAAATCTAGGTAAGTTGAACCATTCACTGATCCCTATTTATAGCAAAAGTACTGCAACCTCTTTTTCTTTGTTCTTGCTGTTCTTTCTACCTATCATTCAACTCCATTCTTCCCCAGAGCTCTTCATATAAAAGTCCTGCCTGGCTTGACTCAGCTCACTGATTTAGTCCACGAAGCCTTCCCTGATTAGATTCTTCTGCGTAAATAACTGACTTCAGTTATTTTCTCTTTTGAATTCCTGACCATTTTATATCTTAGAGAATCTACTTTCCATGTTGAAATTTAGTTATTTGTGGGCCTTCCTGAACTCACTATTAAGCTGCTGTAAGAACTGTCCCCAGGGACAAGGGAACAACAAGTGATCTAAAATCGATGGTGAGGAGGGCA